ATTGTTGAATAATTTAATTCATCGTAAACAAAATTCAAATATATTTTTTTATAATTAATATGTTATAAATATTTTTTAATCGTTATATTTTGGATATTTATTATACTTATAAATACTTAAGTGATAATTTTATTGTATTATCCTTATCGCATACAACTTTTACGCCTCATTAAACTTTATACATTTGGCCATAATTTTGTACATGTCTCTTTTATGTGTCTTTGAATTTTTATGTAAGTTATCACATTAATAATAGTAATAATAATTTTTATTGCAAATTAAATTACAAAATCCGAATACAAATTATACTTAAAACTTTCTATTGACTTAAAATTAGGGTGAGCAAAAATTAACTTATCAACCAAAAATAGTTTGTAAAAATTAGTTTAGACAAATTAAACTATATTTTAATTTTATCAAACTGTACTGAATTATGATATGAATTGAACTGCGTTTCTTAATTGATTTTTAAATTAATTAATTTTGAATTAAATTACAATATTTTTTATTTTTTAACTTGAATTGTACTAATTTTAAATTAAATTGTATTAATTTTGAATGATATCATGATATTTTTAGGTTTTAAAAAAGAAAAGATATAAAATTAAATAGATAAGAAATATTTGTCTTTATAAATTCTTTCCTAAACAATAAATTACTTAAAGGTCTTGCTCTCATGAGATTATCTCTATGAAAATAAAATAAAATATTTCATATTTTTTAAAACTTAAAATATAAATTTAAAGAATATATAATTTTTTTATATAAACTTGCTCAAATTTATCATGTTGTTATAGAAACAAATATCTCTTAGGAACTAATTTTGTGTGCGAATTAAATTATATAATTCAGTTTTGATAAAAAATAGTTTAAATTATATAAACTTGAATTATCAGTTTGCACAAACTCGTCAAAATCACACCCCTTTAGTTATTGTATGCAGGAAAACGCGTTCAAAAACAAAACACACACTTCTAGATCTTGCACTTCAGCGATACAGAAGTCTTATTGTGTACCGTCTGCAAATTTTTTTTCCATCTAAATCTTAACTGTTGATTAATAATAACAAGAACTGTAAAAAGAGAAAAAATGTGTGATGGACGGTTGACTTTGTGGTGTAGAAAACGTTCTGCTGCATAGGATCTTTTATTTCCTTTTAGCAATGTTGATAGTGAAATGGAGGTAATTAGAAGACTTTTAGCAGTGCCGGTTTTGATAGTGATATGGTGTAATTAGAAGAATTTTATTTCCTTTCGAGGAATAAATATAGGAATAGAATGGCAGCAATACCTGCAAACTCCTCTCAATTTTCAACATTCTTCCTGGGTTCATATGGCAGGTGGTTATAATGGACGACGGAGGCATCTTTCAGGCAGTGAGACGAAGAATAATGAGGTGAGTTCTAAGGTTTATTTAACTATTTCTAATTATAGCTATGGTGTTAATTCATTTCCAACATCACCTTGTGACTATTATACTGATGAGTTGTTTTTGCAATGAAGATAGGAAAAAGTGGAAGGCAGAAGAAATGGGTGCTGAAGAAGATGCTTTCGTGGGTGTGGAGGAAGATAACTTTGAACAACACCAAGAAGCACGAAGCTCCTCCTCCGTTTATGTCTTATAGTGTCTTGTAATTCATTTGTTTCCCTTTTTGAATCTGGATTGCTATGTACACCCTATTATTTATATACAATCTCATTGTTTGATTATAGATCATGTTATTGTTTAATTTATTCATTTTTTTCTTGTATCTCCCAACTTTCTCTTAATGTTTAAAGTACCATTTTAATAAGGATATACTTTTCTTTTCTTTTCTATAATTATTCTATCCGGATTTTCTTAACCTATACTCTCTTTTTCACTTAATCAGATTTTAAAATATGATTTAAGATATTATTAAATTTTGAAATTCAGTGTAAAAATTCATGTGAAATCTAATTTACGAATTCACAATATTTTAAAATATAATTAAAAAATTCATCATATTTCAAAATCGTGATTGAATAATATTATACTGTACGAATTAATATTTTGTTTGAGTATATAACTGGTTAAAATTTTACTATTATGTTATATTTTTTCACATGTAATAATACTATGTTATATGTAAATGTAGAATAATGCATAAATTCAAAAAGGTCAACGAGCCCGCGTAAGTTTTATGAACTTACTCATGTATAAAATAATATATCAGACCTTGTATATATTATTGTATACATCAAACTACCCACCACAGAAGCATAAGGAACATTGTTCATATCCATCTTCTCAGCTTCATTTGAAGGACTTTGTTTAACACTCAACTTAAAATGAGTAGCAAGAGGAGTACTTATAACTTTAGCATTTTCCATTTGTAATCTTTGCAACACCTTCTGAATGTAGTGCTCCTGTGATAGCCAAAATTTCTTCTCTTTTCTATCAAGAGTGATACTTATACCAAGAATCTTCTTCGCAGCTCCCATGTCTTTCATGGCAAATGACTCGCCCAGTTGCTTCTTCAACCTATCAATTTTGGATACATCTTTCCCAACAATAAGCATATCATCAACATATAACAACAATATAATGAAATCATTCTCAGAAAATTTCCTTACAAAAACACAATGGTCAGAAGTAGTCTTCTTGTAGCCTTGCTCACACATAACAGACTCAAACTTCTTATACCACTGCCTTGGAGCTTGCTTCAAACCATATAGGCTTTTTTGTAGCCTACACACATAGTCTTCCTTGCCTTCAACAAGAAAACCATCTGGTTGCTTCATGTAAATCTCTTTCTCCAAATCACCATGAAGGAAAGTTGTCTTCACATTCATCTGCTCAACCTCCAAATCTCGAGTAGCAGCTAAACTTAACATAGTTCTGATGGATGTCATCCTCACCACAGGTGAGAAAATCTCATTGAAGTCAACACCCTTTCTTTGTCTGAAGCCTTTCACCACTAATATGGCTTTATATCTGGTAGATGTAGAATTGCTCTCTTGCTTCACCTTGAAAATCCACTTGTTCTCTAAGGCTCTCTTACCCTTAAGCAACTTCACCAAGTCATAAGTGTGATTATCATGTAGAGATTTCATCTCATCCTGCATTGCATCCAACCACTTTTGCTTTTCTTCACTTTCAATGGCCTCTTCATAACATTCAGGTTCTCCCTCATCAGTCAACATTACATACTCATTGATAGAGTACTTCATAGAAGGTTGTTTTGGCCTGTCAAATGTCATGGGTTGAGCTTCTGCTAACTCAGGTATATCACCAAGACTCTCATCTTATGACACATCATCTTCCTCTTCATCAACATTATCAATAGGAACATCCAAGTCATCTCCAATCTGCTGATTATCAATATCACCATGTTGTTCATCATCATGAACATCAATATCCAAATTATTAATAGACAACCGAATTGGATCAAAATCAGTCACATTACCATCTTCCTTAGGTGTAGACTTCTCCACCTTATCAATATGTTCAATGGGTTGATCTTCCATGAATTGCACATCACGACTTCTAACAACTTTCTTTTCAACAGGATCATACAACTTGTAGCCAAATTCATCCTGTCCAAAGCCAATGAAGATGCATTGCCTTGTCTTCACATCCAACTTGGATCTTTCATCCTTTGGAACATGAACAAATGCTTTACAACCGAAGACACGCAAATAATCATAAGTAGCATTCTTGTCAAACCAAATCTTGTCTGGCACCTCAGAGTTCAAAGCAACTGCAGGACTTAGATTAATAACATGCACTGCGGTAAACAATGCCTCACCCCAGAAATGCTTAGGCAATTTTGCTTCAGAAAACATACACCTAACTCTTTCAATCAATGTCATGTTCAATCTGGAGCATGTTTAACTCCTCTAAGAAACAACTGCATCCCCATGTTGGTTTGCAAGTGAACATCACCAACACCAATAACCTTAGACACTCCATTATTACCCATCTTCAATACTCCTAAATCACCAGGTATATAAGATGTGAAGAACTCTTTCCTGGATGTAACATGCAGTGTAGCATCAGTATCAATCATCCACATGCTCTCATCATATACAAAATTAATAGTGTCATAATCACGAAGACAAATAAGGTCACCACATGTAGTACTAGTAACACGATCACCATCATCGGTATCTTTTTCTCATTGCTTACCCTTTTTGTCTTTGCTCTCTTTCTTCAACAAAAAACAATTCTTCTGTTTTGTGACAATAGTGACACTGCACATTCTTGTACCGAGACCTGGACTTGCTTCTGCTTTTATCTCTACCATTATTTTGTTCTTTCTTCTGGCTTCTCCCCCTATTCTCTGTAATAAGCACTTCTGAATGAGATGAAGTACCCTGTGTCTTCCTTCTCATCTTCTCATTAAGAGCACCACTCTTTGCCATTTGCAAAGAAATATCACCATTAGGGGTAGCACTTATCCATGGAAACCTACAATGTCTCCCACGAATCCGGTAAAGAGTTTAATAAGAATAGGCCTAATAAATCATCATCAAATTTTATACCCACTCCTACTAATTGATCATAGCGTCCTTGAAATTCACTTTTGAATATAAAAGAAAATGATTTTTTTTTAAATCAGATCAGAAAATAAAAATTGATGCATAACTAATCAATATTTCTTTTTTATTAAAAAACTTTGTTCATTCCAATTATAACAGCAACTGTCAATATATGTAAACCCTAAAATATTCATTTGATTTGTTATACAGATATTATCTAATAGAGTATCTTATCCATATCTATATAGATATAGAATACCGATACTTTACGGTATTTTCAATAAATTATCGTGTTTATCCTTTTTGTTTTACAATTTTCAATAGAAAATTTGTAAAAATTCACACATGTTATGTGTTTGTTATCTTGAACAAATATGACTGCAATAAAGTTAGAGACAGATCTATAGCTGCAGTTAAATATATGCATGTTTCAAAAATACAAGTCTTATTATATTACACATTACATACTCTAATCATATTCTCCCCAATTCTCCCCAAAATACTTCACTTCAAAATATCTCTTTTCTTGACAATCTCGAATGGATTTTTTTTGTATCCAATTGAATTTAAATATGTAATATCATAATAATGATAGAAATGAAATGCATTTTTTTATATTCCTAAAAAAAATATTGAAATGCCCGTAGAAATTTCCAATCCTTTTTTAGATTAGAATTTCGATTCTATCTATTTGTTTTGTTGCAAATTCCTTCGAAGTTGAGTCTAAAATTCTATTATTTCTTTCTCTTTTCATAATAGGTATTTCCACTAATAAATATTTGATACACGGGATTAGGTAAGATTTCATGTAATTCAGTATAAAGAATAGAAATTCCAGTATTGCTAAATGGATTCATGTGATTTGATGAAGCATGACAGCAAATCGTGGAATATTTTTCGATAAAATTCACGGGGAAATTTAAAATGCTTGGGAGTGGAAATGAAGAAATGTCTACACTACCTGGATTGAATCAGATACAATTTGAAGGGTTTTGTAGGTTCATTGATCGGGGCTTAACAGAAGGGCTTTTTAAGTTTCCAAAAATTGAGGATACAGATCAAGAAATTGAATTTCAATTATTTGCCGAAACATATCAATTATTAGAACCCTTGATAAACGAAAAAGATGCTGTATATGAATCACTTACATATTCTGCTGAATTATATATATCCGCGGGATTAATTTGGAAAAGTAGTAGAGATATACAAAAACAAACTATTTTTGTTGGAAATATTCCTCTAATGAATTCTCTGGGAACTTCTATAGTAAATGGAATATACAGAATAGTAATCAATCAAATATTGCAAAGTCCTGGTATCTATTACCGTTCAGAATTGGACCCTAACGGAATTTCGGTCTATACTGGCACTATAATATCAGACTGGGGGGGTAGATTAGAATTAGAGATTGATAAAAAAGCAAGGATATGGGCTCGTGTGAGTAGGAAACAGAAAATATCTATTCTAGTTCTATCATCAGCTATGGGTTCGAATTTAAGCGAAATTCTAGAAAATGTTTGTTATCCTGAAATTTTCGTGTCTTTCCTAAATGATAAGGATAAAAAAAAAATTGGGTCAAAAGAAAATGCCATTTTGGAGTTTTATCGACAATTTGCTTGTGTTGGCGGAGATCCAGTATTTTCTGAATCTTTATGGAGAGAATTACAAAAAAAATTTTTTCAACAAAGATGTGAATTAGGAAAAATTGGTCGACGAAATATCAACCAAAAGCTTAATCTTGATATACCCCAGAATAATACATTTTTGTTACCGCGAGATATATTGACAGCTGCGGATCATTTGATTGGCATGAAATTTGGAATGGCTCTACTTGACGATATAAATCATTTGAAAAATAAACGTATTCGTTCTGTAGCAGATCTATTACAAGATCAATTTGGATTGGCCCTGGTTCGTTTAGAAAATATGGTTAGAGGAACTATATGTGGAGCAATTAGACATAAATTGATACCGACTCCTCAGAATTTGGTGACTTCAACTCCATTAACAACGACTTATGAATCTTTTTTTGGATTACATCCATTATCTCAAGTTTTGGATCAAACTAATCCATTGACCGAAATAGTTCATGGGAGAAAATTGAGTTATTTGGGCCCTGGAGGATTGACGGGGCGAACTGCGAGTTTTCGGATACGAGATATCCACCCTAGTCACTATGGACGCATTTGTCCAATTGACACGTCTGAAGGAATCAATGTTGGACTTATTGGATCTCTAGCAATTCATGCGAGGATTGGTATTTGGGGGGCCATAGAAAGTCCATTTTTTGAAATATCCGAAAGATCAAAAAGAATACGCATGCTTTATTTATCACCAAATATAGATGAATACTATATGGTAGCAACAGGAAATTCTTTAGCACTTACTCGAGATATTCAGGAGGAACAGATTGTTCCAGCCCGATATCGTCAAGAATTTCTTACGATTGCATGGGAACAGGTTCATCTTCGAAGTATTTATCCCTTCCAATATTTTTCTATTGGAGCTTCTCTGATTCCTTTTATCGAACATAATGATGCGAATCGAGCTTTAATGAGTTCTAATATGCAACGTCAAGCAGTTCCGCTTTCTGAGTCCGAAAAATGCATTGTTGGAACTGGATTGGAATGCCAAGTAGCTTTAGATTCAGGGGTTTCCGCTATAGCCGAACACGAGGGAAACATTGTTTATACTGATACTGATAGGATCTTTTTATTTGTTAATGGAGATACTCTAAGTATTCCATTAACAATATATCAACGTTCCAACAAAAATACTTGCATGCATCAAAAACCCCAGGTTCACCGAGGTAAATGCATCAAAAAGGGACAAATTTTAGCGGATGGTGCTGCTACAGTTGGCGGCGAACTCGCTTTGNCTAATATGGCTTTATATCTGGTAGATGTAGAATTGCTCTCTTGCTTCACCTTGAAAATCCACTTGTTCTCTAAGGCTCTCTTACCCTTAAGCAACTTCACCAAGTCATAAGTGTGATTATCATGTAGAGATTTCATCTCATCCTGCATTGCATCCAACCACTTTTGCTTTTCTTCACTTTCAATGGCCTCTTCATAACATTCAGGTTCTCCCTCATCAGTCAACATTACATACTCATTGATAGAGTACTTCATAGAAGGTTGTTTTGGCCTGTCAAATGTCATGGGTTGAGCTTCTGCTAACTCAGGTATATCACCAAGACTCTCATCTTATGACACATCATCTTCCTCTTCATCAACATTATCAATAGGAACATCCAAGTCATCTCCAATCTGCTGATTATCAATATCACCATGTTGTTCATCATCATGAACATCAATATCCAAATTATTAATAGACAACCGAATTGGATCAAAATCAGTCACATTACCATCTTCCTTAGGTGTAGACTTCTCCACCTTATCAATATGTTCAATGGGTTGATCTTCCATGAATTGCACATCACGACTTCTAACAACTTTCTTTTCAACAGGATCATACAACTTGTAGCCAAATTCATCCTGTCCAAAGCCAATGAAGATGCATTGCCTTGTCTTCACATCCAACTTGGATCTTTCATCCTTTGGAACATGAACAAATGCTTTACAACCGAAGACACGCAAATAATCATAAGTAGCATTCTTGTCAAACCAAATCTTGTCTGGCACCTCAGAGTTCAAAGCAACTGCAGGACTTAGATTAATAACATGCACTGCGGTAAACAATGCCTCACCCCAGAAATGCTTAGGCAATTTTGCTTCAGAAAACATACACCTAACTCTTTCAATCAATGTCATGTTCAATCTGGAGCATGTTTAACTCCTCTAAGAAACAACTGCATCCCCATGTTGGTTTGCAAGTGAACATCACCAACACCAATAACCTTAGACACTCCATTATTACCCATCTTCAATACTCCTAAATCACCAGGTATATAAGATGTGAAGAACTCTTTCCTGGATGTAACATGCAGTGTAGCATCAGTATCAATCATCCACATGCTCTCATCATATACAAAATTAATAGTGTCATAATCACGAAGACAAATAAGGTCACCACATGTAGTACTAGTAACACGATCACCATCATCGGTATCTTTTTCTCATTGCTTACCCTTTTTGTCTTTGCTCTCTTTCTTCAACAAAAAACAATTCTTCTGTTTTGTGACAATAGTGACACTGCACATTCTTGTACCGAGACCTGGACTTGCTTCTGCTTTTATCTCTACCATTATTTTGTTCTTTCTTCTGGCTTCTCCCCCTATTCTCTGTAATAAGCACTTCTGAATGAGATGAAGTACCCTGTGTCTTCCTTCTCATCTACTCATTAAGAGCACCACTCTTTGCCATTTGCAAAGAAATATCACCATTAGGGGTAGCACTTATCCATGGAAACCTACAATGTCTCCCACGAATCCGGTAAAGAGTTTAATAAGAATAGGCCTAATAAATCATCATCAAATTTTATACCCACTCCTACTAATTGATCATAGCGTCCTTGAAATTCACTTTTGAATATAAAAGAAAATGATTTTTTTTTAAATCAGATCAGAAAATAAAAATTGATGCATAACTAATCAATATTTCTTTTTTATTAAAAAACTTTGTTCATTCCAATTATAACAGCAACTGTCAATATATGTAAACACTAAAATATACATTTGATATGTTAAACAGATATTATCTAATAGAGTATCTTATCCATATCTATATAGATATAGAATACCGATACTTTACGGTATTTTCAATAAATTATCGTGTTTATCCTTTTTGTTTTACAATTTTCAATAGAAAATTTGTAAAAATTCACACATGTTATGTGTTTGTTATCTTGAACAAATATGACTGCAATAAAGTTAGAGACAGATCTATAGCTGCAGTTAAATATATGCATGTTTCAAAAATACAAGTCTTATTATATTACACATTACATACTCTAATCATATTCTCCCCAATTCTCCCCAAAATACTTCACTTCAAAATATCTCTTTTTTTTTACAATCTCGAATGGATTTTTTTTGTATCCAATTGAATTTAAATATGTAATATCATAATAATGATAGAAATGAAATGCATTTTTTTATATTCCTAAAAAAAATATTGAAATGCCCGTAGAAATTTCCAATCCTTTTTTAGATTAGAATTTCGATTCTATCTATTTGTTTTGTTGCAAATTCCTTCGAAGTTGAGTCTAAAATTCTATTATTTCTTTCTCTTTTCATAATAGGTATTTCCACTAATAAATATTTGATACACGGGATTAGGTAAGATTTCATGTAATTCAGTATAAAGAATAGAAATTCCAGTATTGCTAAATGGATTCATGTGATTTGATGAAGCATGACAGCAAATCGTGGAATATTTTTCGATAAAATTCACGGGGAAATTTAAAATGCTTGGGAGTGGAAATGAAGAAATGTCTACACTACCTGGATTGAATCAGATACAATTTGAAGGGTTTTGTAGGTTCATTGATCGGGGCTTAACAGAAGGGCTTTTTAAGTTTCCAAAAATTGAGGATACAGATCAAGAAATTGAATTTCAATTATTTGCCGAAACATATCAATTATTAGAACCCTTGATAAACGAAAAAGATGCTGTATATGAATCACTTACATATTCTGCTGAATTATATATATCCGCGGGATTAATTTGGAAAAGTAGTAGAGATATACAAAAACAAACTATTTTTGTTGGAAATATTCCTCTAATGAATTCTCTGGGAACTTCTATAGTAAATGGAATATACAGAATAGTAATCAATCAAATATTGCAAAGTCCTGGTATCTATTACCGTTCAGAATTGGACCCTAACGGAATTTCGGTCTATACTGGCACTATAATATCAGACTGGGGGGGTAGATTAGAATTAGAGATTGATAAAAAAGCAAGGATATGGGCTCGTGTGAGTAGGAAACAGAAAATATCTATTCTAGTTCTATCATCAGCTATGGGTTCGAATTTAAGCGAAATTCTAGAAAATGTTTGTTATCCTGAAATTTTCGTGTCTTTCCTAAATGATAAGGATAAAAAAAAATTGCCTTTCCATAGGTGATAATTTTCTCCATTAAAAGGAATCAATTTTGTATGTGCCTCCATCACTCACACAAAGTAAACAGTCCCTTAACCAAAGAGCTATGATGTCACTCTGATGGGGAAAGGGCCAAAATATATAACAACATGGAAAAAGTAATAACGCAGCAGAAATTCAATTCCCCTTCTTGCGAGAATCTGTGAGGAGCACCAAACAAATAGAACAAAAATAGAATCCAAAGCACAAAGAGACACCAACGTGAAAAACCCCTCAATGCAAGGGTAAAAACCACGAGTCGTCCAGACCAAAGAAAAATTCACGATTATCAATAAATGGTACAAAGATTCTCCAATAATACACACATGATGGTTCATAAGCCAATTTAAATAAGCACAAATGCTTACAAATGAGAACAAAGAAGATAAAAATTCTCCAAAATAAGGCTGCTGGTGCAGGACCGATGTCTCCCAATCTAAACCTCCGATTGACGATTCGAACGGTCAGAATGAAGAACCATATGTCTGGAACTTACTGTCCCAATATCAGCTCGATCCAACAGTGAACGACGACATAGCGACCAAAAAACCAGTGCAGGTTTAGGGTTATACGGGAATGACTTTTTCTCTTTCTTTTTCTCTCACTTGATTTTTGTCTCTCTTCGAATGACTCTCATGTGTCCTACTAATTTGACCCATCTCTATTTAACCTAGTGAGACATAAATGTCCACTTTATTTAGACCTATTCTCCACATAAGAAGGGAGCCCAATAACCCAAAATAATAAATAAATAAATAATATTATATCTTATA